CATGTAAAAATGGCCAATAAGCACATAAAAGATGCTCAACATCATTAACCACCAGGGAAATGAAAATCAAAACCACATGAGATACCATGAGATACACTGGCATGACTAAAATCAAATGACAAATAATAGTGTTGATAAAGACGTGGAGAAACAGAAACTCTGATATATTGCTGGTGGGAGTGTAAAATGGGGCTGGCTCTTTGAAAAACCATAAGCAGTTCCTCAAAAGTTTAAACACACATTTACCATATGCCCCAACACTTCTACTCCTGAGCAAGATGTAAGAGAAACGAAAATATACGTGCCCATGTTGAGGAATGTTCATAACAGCTAAAACTGAAGGGAAAAAACCCTAAAAACTAAATGTCTATCAACAGGAAAATGAATAAATTGTGGTATATGCTTGCAATGAAATGTTACACTGAGCATAATAAGCCTGATCCAAAAGAATATGTATCATATGATTCAAAATATTTGAATTTTAAGATGAGGTAGAACTACCTAATCCACGGTGAAAGAAATCAGAATAATAGTTAGCTCAGAGTGGAGGGTGGGAAGATTGATATTGATAGGAAGCAGGTTAAGAAAACAAACTTCCTAGGGGTTCTGGAAATATTCTAATTTGATATGGGTGGTAGCTGCACATATATATACACATTATGATGTCCTTATATACTATGCATTAGAGCTATGGCAAATAAAATTGTATCTATACATATGTACATACACCTTATATATTATACACATTATAAATTTTATACACACACACACACACACACACACACACACAATTGTATCCTTAAGATTTCTGTACAGTATGGACCTCAATGAATGTGTTTTATAGCTCCATTACTTTAAATAATGAAGGAAAACTACTCTGTGTACCACACTGTACCAAATATCTTTAAAATATTACACATATGTAGCAGAGAAAATAAAAACGAGAATAAAAGGTACTCAAATCTCACAGCCGAGGGTTTGAGAGCCTGGGCTTTGGAGTCAGAATGGCATGTTCAAATCTAGGTTTTGTCACTTAACAGCTCTACAACTTCTTAAAGCTCCTGTTTCTTCAGCAATAAAAAACAAAAAATAATATACCTAAACTGAATTGATGCAATAACTAAGAGAGACAATACACATAAAATGCTCAGTATCTAGTAAATACTGAAGAGCTGTTTTATGTCAACACCCCTTCACATAACAGATTACAGATGGTTTTATTTGCTGCTTTATACCTGTTTCTTGATTTGTTTTTTTGATTTTTTTTAGATGATGAACTCTGAATTCAAAACCACAGAATTTGGAAGTTATCCTATAGGCTGTGCAGTCAGTAGAGAGTTCTGACCAGGTCAGTGATACAGTAAACTGCAATCTTTGGAAGGCTGTTGGCAGCAACATGCTTGGTGGACTTGGGGAGGAGTAGACCTGGCAGCAGCAACAGGACAGCCTTGAGGTGGAGGGCCTACTGCCATCATTTTAAGCCCCATAATAGCCAGATAAAAATCTAGAATTGTCATTATCCCCATTCTTTTATTTTTTAAATATTTTCTATTTATTTCATAAAATTCATATGGCATTTTCCCCCCAGATTCATTCATTTATTCTTTCATTCCACAAGTTTTCTTTTTTAAAAAAATACAACTTTATTGATTTTTAGAGAGAGGGAGGAAAAGAGAGGGACAGATAGAAACATCGATGAGAAAGAGACATAGATTGGCTGCCTCTGGCATGCCCCCTACTGGGGATGGAGCCCACAACATGGGCATGTGCTCTGACTGGGAATCTAACCGGGGACTTCTTGGTTCATGGGTTGATGCTCAACCACTGAGCCACTTCTTTTTTATTGAGGTATAACTGACATAAAACATGATAATAGTTTCATTTCAGGTGGATAACATAATAATTTGATATTTGCATATGAGATAACCACTACAATAAATCTAGTTAACATCTCATGTTCTGAAATCTTTTACAACACACAGATGGTCACCAAGGTATTCACCGAGAAGGTATGTTGCTCTATGCCATTATATTAACCATAAGTTTTTGTAATTTATAAATCACAGAATCCTTAAATGTTTCAGTACCACTCAAACAAAATAATTTCCTTTTGAATTTCATAACAACCAGTGCACAGTGTAGACACCTAACACGACCAATGCTCCTACTCCTCCCTCCATCCTGCTTATTTTCTTAATGTTACTTTACAGTAATTCTGAGAAAACCTAGCAATAAATCTTCAGCATTCAAATACTTTTTAATGTGCTTTGGGAGTAACTTTAGTATTTCTCCAGGGCTTGAAAGATCAAAGTCACTCAAGAG